GATTTCTTCTGTATTTTCTTATTATTTAATATAATTTTCTCCATTTCCTATGAACAAAAAAAAAAAAAAAACTCAATTAGTTAAAATGATATATATGAAATGAACAAATTAGATGAAGGCACCATGTTCTTCATAGTTTATACAAGTAATCATGTGAATTGTGAAGAGAGGATGATGAAAATAAAAATCATGTAAATACCGAACAAAAAAAATCTTGTCTTAGGTGGTTTTGCCAATATCCTAAAATAGGTCTCTAATCTAATGAGCTAAATTATTAATTCGAGATTTGTGGACTATTCAACTCAACTAATTTTCGAGCTCGAACTCAAATTTGAGTTCAAAAAATTGAATTGAATTAAGTTTGAGTTGAACCCAAAACTTAACTCAATTGTATTAAAAATAATTATAAATTAAATATTTAAAATTTTATTTTTATTTTAACTTAAATTTTAAATTTAAATAATGAATCAAGTTCATAAATTGAGTTTAAACTCAATGTATTTGAATTTGTTAAAAACTCAAACTTAACTTGACTAATTATAACATCAAACCTAAGTTTGAATTACAAAAATTTCAATTGAACTTGACTCATTTATAACTCTAGTGAAAGGTGTACCTTGGTAAATCAATAAAAAAATAGATGAACATTTTAAAATAAAAAGGGTAAGATTTTAAAATTGTGTGAATTAATTGATTCACATTATTTAAGCATTATCTTAGTGAAATATTGTTTCTTATTTTAATAAATCAATTCATTAAATAAAAAATTAAAAAAGATATGAGAAGAAGAAAATATATTTTTTTCTTAATTTTGTTAATATTTTAAAGAAGATATCAATAAAAAGACAATAATTAATACACACTCGATTCAACATACTACACAACATACTCAGAAAAAAATCACAATTTCTTATTTTGAAATTAGAGGCAAACAAGTTTAAACATATAATCATGTATACAGAATATATATGCTGGTTGAATCGATTATATTTATATTTTTAATGATTGAATCAGAAATCTATCAAAAAATATATTAAACCGATAGTATACAGATCATTTTCTTAACAAAAAGATAGTCAAAATTAATTTTTTTAAAAAATAATTAACTAATGTCTTAAGAAATATTCAAAATTCAATTCATAAGCAAAAAATTTTACCCACTCTCAATTATTTTCCAGCTTCGCAACGGTGCAACACGACACTGCAAAAGCATTGTTCTGTTTTTTCAACTTTACATATGATAATGATAAGGTATACAAGATGTAGATGCAACAAACCTTCAAGATTTCCTTTTTACTGTCTTTTCTTCGAATTGACCTACAAAGCCCGAGGGCGGTCATCGCGGTAGACATTTCAATACTTAAGTTAACAATAGTCTGTTCTATGCTCTTGAGAAGAATATTCAAAGAGTTCTTGATTGGTTTCCCTTTTTCATCTTACCTTAGGAATAGTCCGTGGAAGTATTTGTATGTCTTGACAGGGCATCCACGTGGCTTACTTAAGACAATAATTGTGATATGATGTGTCTAACGAAATAGATGTTTTAGGTGAACGCAACGTGCCTTAACAGAGTACCCCCATTAAATGAGCATGGCGTGTTCTGACAGAGCAAGTCCCTTGGAGACGGAGAATTAGGTAATGGCAAGTAATGGGTAGAGGCGTTCTCATTGTAATTACCATACAATTATGGCAGAGCAGAGCTCAACCTTACACTATTCCCACCCCCCACCCCCCCACCCCCCGAAGTCATTCACTGGTGAATGATTAAAGGATTGTTGATTTTCTTTGGGCGTATCGAAGGTAAATATGCATGACACATGGTCATGTGTTTTAGCCATAGTCAAGGTAAAAATGCATGATAGGTGGTCATGTGTTTTGGCCGTAACCGAGGTAAAAGTGCATGACACGTGGTCATGTGCTTTGGCCGTGTAGACGAGGTAAAAGTGCATGACACGTGGTCATGTGTTTTGGCCATAGTCGAGGTAAAAATGCATGACAC